ACGCTCTTAGCCATGGCCCGCACCGGCCCACCGTCAGCTCTGGGAGGGGGGTTGGTGGAAGGGCGTGGCCCTGGGGTGAGGTGCCACGGGCCGTGGGCCAGGGGAGCTGCCACTGAGCAAGCCCCGTTTTTTCTAGCCTTACGCTGACCCGGTCCACGACCCGACCTGGCGCTGGTGGAAGAACCGCAAGCAGTACGCCGTAAGGCCAGCTTCTGTCGAGAACGACCCCCAGAGCCCCCCAGCCCCACGGTGGTGGATTCCTCTAGGGTCAGGCCTGTAGACTGGGACCCCGGACAGCCAGGGGAGCTGCCACTGAGCAAGCCCCGTTTTTTCTAGCCTTACGCTGACCCGGTCCACGACCCGACCTGGCGCTGGTGGAAGAACCGCAAGCAGTACGCCGTAAGGCCAGCTTCTGTCGAGAACGACCCCCAGAGCCCCCCAGCCCCACGGTGGTGGATTCCTCTAGGGTCAGGCCTGTAGACTGGGACCCCGGACAGTGTCTGTTGGGAACGTCCCTCCTCTCTTCCGCAGTTTCCCAAGTGCCCTCCTCTGCGTCCTGTCCCAAGCGGCTGGAGACGAACAGCTGCCGGGCACGGGGCCGGAGCAGCCCCTTCTCCCACCTGGCTGAGGTCTCCACTGGGCTGTGGGAGTGAGCCCCGAGAGTCAGAGGGGGCAGACTTGGGCCGGTAGTAGCCGTGGGCTAGAGTAAGTCTGTACCATGGGGACCCAGGGCTTACTGCTGAGAATTCCCTGGAGCCCAAACTTTCCTCTGATTTTCCCCATCTGTGTGGAGTACATTTTGTGCTGTGCACCGAGGCGTGTGGGGATGTGCACTACCCGTAGGAACACCTGCTGCTGGCTCTGGGCGCTCTGCTACTCAGCTGGGTGGCGCCTGAATCTCTCCTGGGTGGCCTCCCTAGCGCCCCGCTTCCAGGGAACCCTGCCGGAGCCCTCCACGGCCCCCCGCTTTGGGGCTGTGGGGTGAGGTGCGCCCAGGGGCGTGGAAGCCCAGACTCACCTTGCGCGGATCGTAAGCCCTGTCCTTTTCCTCTGGGGCATGCCCGGGCGGAGGGCTGAGGACTCCCTTCCCGAGGCGGGGCAGGGACGTGCTTTGGAGCCCATCCCGAGGGCCATGGCCGCGTGCCCGGAGGAACGGATTGTTTTGCACACGCAGTTAACACACGTTTCCAGCAGCGACCTCCAGGCGCCCTGCTCCTGGCCGGGCTGCTGTCTGCTGGCGAGCCTCGGGCCCAGGCGGGCCTGGCGCGGCGTGAACCGCGCACGGCGTAGCCATGGCCTTGTGCGCCTGCTGCATTGGGAGCGTGGTAGCCGCGCTGGCCCAGCCGGCAGCGGGCGGTAGAGATGAAAGCCGCCTCGCCTTTCCCAGGAGTACTACTTCTACGTGGCCAGCAACGGCAACTCCTCCGGGGGCGTCTTCGTCAACATGGAGAGCTACGTGAAGATCTACGACTTGCAGGCCAACAACCAGCTGCCCAGAAAGATTTACCTGGACAAGAACAACGTCTATTCCTTCTCGGTGTTCCTGAGCATCGAGCTGTCCGCAGAAAGCAGTAAGAGCGGGGAATGGGCGGATTTCTCTGCCTCGCTGCATTTGCAGGGGATTGGAGGAGCCGGCGCCGCCTGCGTGAGAGCAGGAGTAATCAGACCTAGCGCTTCTCACCAGTATCTGTGTTTCACAAAGGAGGGCAGGAGCATCGTCTCCACAGACGAGATGGGGAAACTGAGGCACAGAGCGGGGCCTGGACTTGCTCAAGGTTACCCCATAGAAGCATAGAGCTGGAAGAGACCTCAGAAGGTCTCCTGACCCCTGCCTCCCGTCAGACGGGTTTCTCCCGCTCTCCGGCTCTGGGATGGCAGTGGTGTCTAGTGATCAGAGCAGAGGGGGCTGGGATCCAGGAGTCCCGGGGTTTATTCCCACCTGCAGGAGGGCAGTGAGGTCTTGCTGCCCTTGGGTAGCCCACAGCCGCGCAGTTCCTCCGCACAGGGCTGCGCTGACCTCATCTCTGGCCAGTGTGAGCAGTGCCCAGTGGAGGCCAGGGGTGCCCAGAGCCGCGGGCGTGAGCCCTGTCATGAGCAGCTGGTGACAGCATTCCATCACCGCCCGCCTGGCCATGGCGCTCTGCACCCGTAAGCCCCCATCCTTGCTGCATGGGGCTCATGATCTCCCTGCCCGGGTGCTTTTCCAGCGGCTGCCTTGTCGGCCGCAGGCCCCTGCGCCTCCCTCAGAGGGGTCTCTCTTCCCTGCAGTAGAGGAAACCCCAGAAGACAACTCCCTCGATTTCGTGTGGCTCACCATCGTCCTAGGGCACCCGGAGTACGTGGTGTCCCACCTCCGCCGGAGGAACCTGGTTCTGTCTGTCTGTCCTCCCCGTGCGCGGTCGCTAGCTGTCTGTCTGTCCTGCCGTGCGCAGTCGCTAGCTGTCTGTCTGTCTGTCCTCCCCGTGCGCGGTCGCTAGCTGTCTGTCTGTCCTGCCGTGCGCAGTCGCTAGCTGTCTGTCTGTCTGTCCTCCCCGTGCGCGGTCGCTAGCTGTCTGTCTGTCCTGCCGTGCGCAGTCGCTAGCTGTCTGTCTGTCTGTCCTCCCCGTGCGCGGTCGCTAGCTGTCTGTCTGTCCTGCCGTGCGCAGTCGCTAGCTGTCTGTCTGTCTGTCCTCCCCGTGCGCGGTCGCTAGCTGTCTGTCTGTCCTGCCGTGCGCAGTCGCTAGCTGTCTGTCTGTCTGTCCTCCCCGTGCGCGGTCGCTAGCTGTCTGTCTGTCCTGCCGTGCGCAGTCGCTAGCTGTCTGTCTGTCTGTCCTCCCCGTGCGCGGTCGCTAGCTGTCTGTCTGTCCTGCCGTGCGCAGTCGCTAGCTGTCTGTCTGTCTGTCCTCCCCGTGCGCGGTCGCTAGCTGTCTGTCTGTCCTGCCGTGCGCAGTCGCTAGCTGTCTGTCTGTCTGTCCTCCCCGTGCGCGGTCGCTAGCTGTCTGTCTGTCCTGCCGTGCGCAGTCGCTAGCTGTCTGTCTGTCTGTCCTCCCCGTGCGCGGTCGCTAGCTGTCTGTCTGTCCTGCCGTGCGCAGTCGCTAGCTGTCTGTCTGTCTGTCCTCCCCGTGCGCGGTCGCTAGCTGTCTGTCTGTCCTGCCGTGCGCAGTCGCTAGCTGTCTGTCTGTCTGTCCTCCCCGTGCGCGGTCGCTAGCTGTCTGTCTGTCCTGCCGTGCGCAGTCGCTAGCTGTCTGTCTGTCTGTCCTCCCCGTGCGCGGTCGCTAGCTGTCTGTCTGTCCTGCCGTGCGCAGTCGCTAGCTGTCTGTCTGTCTGTCCTCCCCGTGCGCGGTCGCTAGCTGTCTGTCTGTCCTGCCGTGCGCAGTCGCTAGCTGTCTGTCTGTCTGTCCTCCCCGTGCGCGGTCGCTAGCTGTCTGTCTGTCCTGCCGTGCGCAGTCGCTAGCTGTCTGTCTGTCTGTCCTCCCCGTGCGCGGTCGCTAGCTGTCTGTCTGTCCTGCCGTGCGCAGTCGCTAGCTGTCTGTCTGTCTGTCCTCCCCGTGCGCGGTCGCTAGCTGTCTGTCTGTCCTGCCGTGCGCAGTCGCTAGCTGTCTGTCTGTCTGTCCTCCCCGTGCGCGGTCGCTAGCTGTCTGTCTGTCCTGCCGTGCGCAGTCGCTAGCTGTCTGTCTGTCTGTCCTCCCCGTGCGCGGTCGCTAGCTGTCTGTCTGTCCTGCCGTGCGCAGTCGCTAGCTGTCTGTCTGTCTGTCCTCCCCGTGCGCGGTCGCTAGCTGTCTGTCTGTCCTGCCGTGCGCAGTCGCTAGCTGTCTGTCTGTCTGTCCTCCCCGTGCGCGGTCGCTAGCTGTCTGTCTGTCCTGCCGTGCGCAGTCGCTAGCTGTCTGTCTGTCTGTCCTCCCCGTGCGCGGTCGCTAGCTGTCTGTCTGTCCTGCCGTGCGCAGTCGCTAGCTGTCTGTCTGTCTGTCCTCCCCGTGCGCGGTCGCTAGCTGTCTGTCTGTCCTGCCGTGCGCAGTCGCTAGCTGTCTGTCTGTCTGTCCTCCCCGTGCGCGGTCGCTAGCTGTCTGTCTGTCCTGCCGTGCGCAGTCGCTAGCTGTCTGTCTGTCTGTCCTCCCCGTGCGCGGTCGCTAGCTGTCTGTCTGTCCTGCCGTGCGCAGTCGCTAGCTGTCTGTCTGTCTGTCCTCCCCGTGCGCGGTCGCTAGCTGTCTGTCTGTCCTGCCGTGCGCAGTCGCTAGCTGTCTGTCTGTCTGTCCTCCCCGTGCGCGGTCGCTAGCTGTCTGTCTGTCCTGCCGTGCGCAGTCGCTAGCTGTCTGTCTGTCTGTCCTCCCCGTGCGCGGTCGCTAGCTGTCTGTCTGTCCTGCCGTGCGCAGTCGCTAGCTGTCTGTCTGTCTGTCCTCCCCGTGCGCGGTCGCTAGCTGTCTGTCTGTCCTGCCGTGCGCAGTCGCTAGCTGTCTGTCTGTCTGTCCTCCCCGTGCGCGGTCGCTAGCTGTCTGTCTGTCCTGCCGTGCGCAGTCGCTAGCTGTCTGTCTGTCTGTCCTCCCCGTGCGCGGTCGCTAGCTGTCTGTCTGTCCTGCCGTGCGCAGTCGCTAGCTGTCTGTCTGTCTGTCCTCCCCGTGCGCGGTCGCTAGCTGTCTGTCTGTCCTGCCGTGCGCAGTCGCTAGCTGTCTGTCTGTCTGTCCTCCCCGTGCGCGGTCGCTAGCTGTCTGTCTGTCCTGCCGTGCGCAGTCGCTAGCTGTCTGTCTGTCTGTCCTCCCCGTGCGCGGTCGCTAGCTGTCTGTCTGTCCTGCCGTGCGCAGTCGCTAGCTGTCTGTCTGTCTGTCCTCCCCGTGCGCGGTCGCTAGCTGTCTGTCTGTCCTGCCGTGCGCAGTCGCTAGCTGTCTGTCTGTCTGTCCTCCCCGTGCGCGGTCGCTAGCTGTCTGTCTGTCCTGCCGTGCGCAGTCGCTAGCTGTCTGTCTGTCTGTCCTCCCCGTGCGCGGTCGCTAGCTGTCTGTCTGTCCTGCCGTGCGCAGTCGCTAGCTGTCTGTCTGTCTGTCCTCCCCGTGCGCGGTCGCTAGCTGTCTGTCTGTCCTGCCGTGCGCAGTCGCTAGCTGTCTGTCTGTCTGTCCTCCCCGTGCGCGGTCGCTAGCTGTCTGTCTGTCCTGCCGTGCGCAGTCGCTAGCTGTCTGTCTGTCTGTCCTCCCCGTGCGCGGTCGCTAGCTGTCTGTCTGTCCTGCCGTGCGCAGTCGCTAGCTGTCTGTCTGTCTGTCCTCCCCGTGCGCGGTCGCTAGCTGTCTGTCTGTCCTGCCGTGCGCAGTCGCTAGCTGTCTGTCTGTCTGTCCTCCCCGTGCGCGGTCGCTAGCTGTCTGTCTGTCCTGCCGTGCGCAGTCGCTAGCTGTCTGTCTGTCTGTCCTCCCCGTGCGCGGTCGCTAGCTGTCTGTCTGTCCTGCCGTGCGCAGTCGCTAGCTGTCTGTCTGTCTGTCCTCCCCGTGCGCGGTCGCTAGCTGTCTGTCTGTCCTGCCGTGCGCAGTCGCTAGCTGTCTGTCTGTCTGTCCTCCCCGTGCGCGGTCGCTAGCTGTCTGTCTGTCCTGCCGTGCGCAGTCGCTAGCTGTCTGTCTGTCTGTCCTCCCCGTGCGCGGTCGCTAGCTGTCTGTCTGTCCTGCCGTGCGCAGTCGCTAGCTGTCTGTCTGTCTGTCCTCCCCGTGCGCGGTCGCTAGCTGTCTGTCTGTCCTGCCGTGCGCAGTCGCTAGCTGTCTGTCTGTCTGTCCTCCCCGTGCGCGGTCGCTAGCTGTCTGTCTGTCCTGCCGTGCGCAGTCGCTAGCTGTCTGTCTGTCTGTCCTCCCCGTGCGCGGTCGCTAGCTGTCTGTCTGTCCTGCCGTGCGCAGTCGCTAGCTGTCTGTCTGTCTGTCCTCCCCGTGCGCGGTCGCTAGCTGTCTGTCTGTCCTGCCGTGCGCGGTCGCTAGCTGTCTGTCCTGCCGTGCGCAGTCGCTAGCTGTCTGTCTGTCTGTCCTCCCCGTGCGCGGTCGCTAGCTGTCTGTCTGTCCTGCCGTGCGCGGTCGCTAGCTGTCTGTCCTGCCGTGCGCAGTCGCTAGCTGTCTGTCTGTCTGTCCTCCCCGTGCGCGGTCGCTAGCTGTCTGTCTGTCCTGCCGTGCGCGGTCGCTAGCTGTCTGTCCTGCCGTGCGCAGTCGCTAGCTGTCTGTCTGTCTGTCCTCCCCGTGCGCGGTCGCTAGCTGTCTGTCTGTCCTGCCGTGCGCGGTCGCTAGCTGTCTGTCCTGCCGTGCGCAGTCGCTAGCTGTCTGTCTGTCTGTCCTCCCCGTGCGCGGTCGCTAGCTGTCTGTCTGTCCTGCCGTGCGCGGTCGCTAGCTGTCTGTCCTGCCGTGCGCAGTCGCTAGCTGTCTGTCTGTCTGTCCTCCCCGTGCGCGGTCGCTAGCTGTCTGTCTGTCCTGCCGTGCGCGGTCGCTAGCTGTCTGTCCTGCCGTGCGCAGTCGCTAGCTGTCTGTCTGTCTGTCCTCCCCGTGCGCGGTCGCTAGCTGTCTGTCCTGCCGTGCGCAGTCGCTAGCTGTCTGTCTGTCTGTCCTCCCCGTGCGCGGTCGCTAGCTGTCTGTCCTGCCGTGCGCAGTCGCTAGCTGTCTGTCTGTCTGTCCTCCCCGTGCGCGGTCGCTAGCTGTCTGTCCTGCCGTGCGCAGTCGCTAGCTGTCTGTCTGTCTGTCCTCCCCGTGCGCGGTCGCTAGCTGTCTGTCCTGCCGTGCGCAGTCGCTAGCTGTCTGTCTGTCTGTCCTCCCCGTGCGCGGTCGCTAGCTGTCTGTCCTGCCGTGCGCAGTCGCTAGCTGTCTGTCTGTCTGTCCTCCCCGTGCGCGGTCGCTAGCTGTCTGTCCTGCCGTGCGCAGTCGCTAGCTGTCTGTCTGTCTGTCCTCCCCGTGCGCGGTCGCTAGCTGTCTGTCCTGCCGTGCGCAGTCGCTAGCTGTCTGTCTGTCTGTCCTCCCCGTGCGCGGTCGCTAGCTGTCTGTCCTGCCGTGCGCAGTCGCTAGCTGTCTGTCTGTCTGTCCTCCCCGTGCGCGGTCGCTAGCTGTCTGTCCTGCCGTGCGCAGTCGCTAGCTGTCTGTCTGTCTGTCCTCCCCGTGCGCGGTCGCTAGCTGTCTGTCCTGCCGTGCGCAGTCGCTAGCTGTCTGTCTGTCTGTCCTCCCCGTGCGCGGTCGCTAGCTGTCTGTCCTGCCGTGCGCAGTCGCTAGCTGTCTGTCTGTCTGTCCTGCCCCACAGCATGGTTCCTGCAGCACTAGGGTTGCTCTTGCCTGTGGCGAAACGCTCCCTGTGAAGAGCAGGACACAAACCTTCCTGAGGGTTCCTGCCCCCCCCCCCCACTCCGTGCTGCCCTGGGGCTGGCAGTGGGGTGAGCCTGGCTCTGTGCTGGGCTGGTGCGCGAAGGCGAGGGGCTGCGCCACGGGATCCCTGGGGCCCTTACCCACAGGGCCCCTCCCCCTGCAGGGCTGGGCCATGGTCATGGTGCCCCTGTTCATTGGCTGCCCCCCGGGGAAGAGGCTGGCCTTTGACATCACCAGGACCCTGCGGCACACGGCCAAGGAGAACAAGCACTACTTCGACTGCTTGCACAAGAACCCCGACATGCCCTGCTTCTTCTTCGACG